CTTTTAGTTATTGTTTCCCTCTATCATATTGCATGTTTTTTCTCTCTTTTTCTTTGAAGATAACCGGTTCAGTCTCAAAATAGAAGACAATAAACAATATCATCTTTTGAAGGGTAGTTTTGACATTTTCAATAGATAAATGACAGTTGGTTAATGACAGGGACCAACTTGACACTTTTTGAATGTTTAGGTACTGTAATGACACGTTTGAAAGTTCGGGTACTAACTTGACACTACCCCCAAAGTTTAGGGCACTAAAGTGGAATTTTCTCATTTATTTTTTACTACATACTTTAAATGGCATCCCCTGCTTATTTATCTTGTCCAACACACCATGTGTGAAGTCCTCTTAGTGGAAACAAAGGGAAGATCTATTACCAAAAGAAAACAAGGCACCTCGTGGAGTGTTTTGACTATGTACAAACAAGAAAAAGGATAAAAGCAATTTTCTTTATGTTAAAAGGTGTTGGAATAGGGTATGGTGACTGCTAGCAGCTGTATATATTTATATATGTCTCTTGATTATAAAACGCTAAACCCAAAGACAAAACTACACAATAAAGAACCTCCAATGAATTGAAGTATCTCATAGAAAAATATATCAAAGCAAGTATTTTAAATATGCAATAAACCTTTTTACTAAAAATCCAAAATATTTAGTGTTAGGGTGCATTTGGAAAATGTGTGGCCAAAGACCTTTGATCTCTTTGAAGAACAAAAGAGAAAAAGGTGACATTCTACATTTGATAAGAAAATTTCAGCAGATTCTTTTGTCTTTGAAACTATTAAAAGATCCATTTTGAAAGTTTGGTTTCAAGCTTTCATATGGTAAATAGGAGAAACCTTTGAAAAAATAAACACCACTTTTTTTGGTATAAGAAAAAGCCTAGGTTGTGTTTGGTTTCTACCTTTTCTTTCCTTTTCCTACCTTTTCTTTCGAACCAGCAAACACAACCTATGGGATTTGTAGGGAAACTTATTGGGGATTCGGGGTCACTGAAACTTGGAGGAAAAGCTCTAAGGTGTGTTTGAAGATATTGTCTTTAGAAGATTATTTGCCCCCACTCAACTCCATTGAGTTTGTTGTTGGATTACAAGCAAATCGATTCCTAGGATACAATAGAACCTTGTGCGAGAGTCTACAACTAGCAAAGTTGAAGATTCTCCAAAAAAACCATCTGTTAGACAATAGTAGATCAAACATAGAGAGACAAGAGTGATTTTTGAAAAGCTTGTGTGTTCATTTTCTTGATTCATGCTCCTTAAATAATTTCTAAAGAGTCATGGAGCAGAGGAAGGTGCTAGTTCAGAAAAGGCTCATCGAACAGTCACAATTTCAAACATTGCGATTGTTAAAAAGGTAGTTAACAGTTAATGATTGTTAACTTTTAATAGTGCCTCTTGATCTCACCTAAATGAATCATGACTGTTGAAACACCAACGGTCAGCCTCACACCAAAGTCAAAGCTGCCCTTTGTGAGCCACACAGGTATGTGCAAAGTGCGAGCAAAGTCTGCCTCTAAAGCTCTTCATTGTGCGGCATACATGCGTACATGCGCGTTGCATGGTAGCAAACCTCCATACTTTCTTCTTTATTTCTAAGGAGTGTAAATAAGCTCCTATTTAAAAACTGAAAACAAGTTTTGTAATTTTCCAATGTGGGACAAGTTGAAAACTAGTTTTAGTAAGAGGAAAAACTATTTTCCAAGACACGTGTGCAGGTGTGTTTTTCATGTAATTGATCAATCAAACCCCATTGGGTTTAATCTCTAATGAAACATTTCCCGTGTGTGTAGGTGTGTTTTTTATGTAATGAATTTTCCTTTCCAATTGATTTTCCACTTCAGTTTTGTATAGTTTAAACATATCAAAGGCTTCATCCTTAGTTCTCATAAGGTAGACATAGGTGTATCTTGAAAAATCATCAATAAAGGTTATGAAATATTTTACCTCATCTAATTAATACACAATTTAGTTCATAGATGTCAGAATGAATTAGTTCTAGAAGTTGAGAATTTCTCTCAACACTTGGGAAAGATTTCTTTGCCATTTTAGATTTTACACATATCTCACATTTTTCATTTTATTATAAGCAGTTAAACTAAGTTTACTCATGTTTTTTATGGATTTAAAATTCAAGTGTGTAATCTATCAGCCATAAAGAGAAAGAATCAACAATATAAGAAGAACCTTTTCCTTCATTACTACTCAAGTTGAACATACCATTACAACCATATACCTTTCCAACAAACATCCCATTCTTGGATAGAATTAGTTTGTCAGATTCAAAGACAATTTTGAATCCCCTCTTACAAACTAGATTTATTGAGACCAAGTTCTTTCTAATGTTAGGAACATGGAGAACATTTAGGAGAGTTAGTGTCTTTTTGGAGGTGATGTTCAATTCAATGCTGCCCCTTCTAGCAACTTTTGGCACATGTTTGGTCTCCCACCTGTACCTCCTATCAATCAGTTACTTCTTCATATGTCTTAAACAGGACTTGTCCTTGAAAACATGGACTATGACGGATGAATCAAACCACCATTTAGAAGATGATTCTACCATATTGACTTCAGTAATCATGGCCACTAGATTGTCTTCCTCCATGTTTGCGGACTTCACTCCACCTTTACTATGTCGGCAGACTTAGGCATTGTGCCCCTTTTATCCACAAACATAGTAGGATCTTTTTCTTATTGTTGCTCTTCTTGAAGTTCTTGTCTTTCTTTTTACTTATAATGAAGGAATAGTCTTCTTCAATTCATTTTCCACAAAATTAACCTTAAATTTCAGTATATCGGCCAGGGTGTTATCCTTACTATCTCTAATCCGAGACTCTTCTTTAATATGAAGGTGTTGCTGAATTTTCTCTAAGGTAAGTTCTTTGGCCTTGTGTAGAAGCTTCTTCCTATAATCCTTCCAAGAGAGTGAAAGTTTGGAAATTATTGCTCTCACTTGGAAAGATTAAAGAAGGATGATATCAATGGATCAAATTCTATTAACAATCACCTTTCGTGAACTTGCTCCTATATGGTCTTATGATTGTTCATGGTGAAGTTAAAGTATTTTGCGATAAGATACTTATCCGTACCTACTTCTTGCATCTTGTATTTAAATTCCCAAGTCTTCTAGATTTCTTTTGGAGACGTAAGTTCCTTGTAGAAGTTGTAGAGTCAGTTTGATAAGGCGTTCAGTATATGTCCTCGGCATAGAAGTAAATCCTCTTCTCATTTTTCTATTTCATTCTTTAGCTTTTCAGAGTCTTTGTTAGTGGGTTCAGGAAGTGGTTGTAGATTCGAATCTAGGAGATGGTACAATTTCAATGTGGTAAAAAAGAAGATCATCTTGTCTTGTCATTGATTGAGATTTTCTCCATCAAACTGGTCAAGTCGAACAAGATCTTGGTTCATCACCATGATTGAAGTCATGCTTGCTTCCACCTACATTGCAAAATAACGTTCTAAAATTGTTGGGGAATTGAGGTCACTGAAACTTGGAGGAGAATCTCTGAGTTGCGTCTGAAGACACTATCTTTAGAACATTATTGAACATTATTTGCCCCCACTCAATTCCACTAGAGTGGCCAATTTTGTAGGATTTTTTTTTCCTACTCAAAATGATACCAAAATGGGTTGCTTTTATAATTCTATGAAAGATGTTCAATATGTCAATATATAGGGTTGTTGGAACTTAACATGAAATTGACCAAAAGGAGCAAGATCAAAACTCCTTTATCTCCAAACATTGTTTTTTACATATTGAATTTGCCATAATATTTATACAATTTTACTATTATCGATCACAAAATTGGGAGAGAGAAAGAGAGAGAGAGTTGGAATGCAAGTAATACAAGACAAGAACTACAACAATACAAAAGGATTCACCATCAAACTAAAACTTTGATGGGTCCAGCTTGGCTAATCTTGCATCCTTGTGAATATGAGTTTTTAGGGATTGCCAAGGTACTATCTTAGAGCCATATTCTCAAGGCAAGTAGGAAGTGAGTTCACAGATCATTAAATGGACTAACCATTGAACTAAACTTAATTTGATGGGTCCAACTTGGGTAATTTTGCACCCTTGTGAATATGAGGAGTTTTTAGGGATTGCCAAGGTACCATCTTATCCATGTTCTCAAGACAAGTAGGAAGTGGGTTCACAGATCAGCAATTAACAAGTTTATTCGTGATGAAAAGAAAACAATTAATTTGTTGGTCTCACATATCAAATTCCATGGGTTTGTTTGTGGGGAGGCCTAGACTAGAGGAAAAATTTTGATGAACCTACTTGGAACCAGATCAATAAACTTTTTAGTTCACAACAACGTCTATATTAGTTAGATCAATAAACCTACTTGGAACCAAAACCTCTTTTGCCACCAGTTTTCAGGTCAGTTGTTCGACCATCTGGTTTGAAGGAATGACTTGTTGCAAATTAAAAGAAATAATTAAAATAAGAAAGCCAAAACTTGTTCTCTGGATCGGTTTGATCGATGGTTTGACTACCCAGCCCAGTGGGTTTTTGGTAAAATTTCAGTCCTAGGGTGAAATAACACCCGAGTGTTATTTCGGACCGCAACATACCAACAGCGAGTAGCTCGGTACAATAACACCCGAGTTAAGAAATGCCAATTCAGAGTTGCCGACTTAGTACTCAAGAAGGTCATGGTACCTGAACCTGGTGTGGGAAAGCTAGGCCCAAATTGGGAAGGCCCTTATAGAGGCTCCAGGGTGATAGGTGGAAATGTGTACAAGCTCGAAACACTTGAGGGGAAGATGGTACCCCATGTGTGGAACATAGACAACCTGAGAAGATATTACCATTGAAAAGAAGTGTTCTGAGCTACGTCCGCGGACTTGTGAAAGGCACGTAGCCAACCTAACTAGCGTACCAGATAAACATTTTGCATTCAAAGGCACGTAGCCGACCTAACTAGAGTAACAGATAAACAAGAAAAAGCTCCATCTAAAAGAAGGTACCAGATGTGAAAACACTAAGTTTTATTAAGCAAAAAGGCCAGTGATCGAGATACATGTATGTAAAGAAAAAAAAACTTAGCATCAATAAGTTTGGATGTTCGGACACACAGGCCCAAGAGATCACCTTCCAAGAGCTCGCAGGCTCCCAGAAACACCAGAAGAAACAGAAACTAGTCAAGTTGACGTAATCTTCATAACCGCCCTATAGCTCACAAGCTCGTAGGCTCTTCTTCGCCATCTACTCCTTCACCCTCCTCGGGAGTCAAGGGCTCCCTATCGACCTACACAGCAAGCTCATTCGGCACATAGTTCACAGAAAAAATGCCAAAATCAAAATTGGAATGCAGTGTCCTTAAGCAATGATGACAGAGTTTAAACCCCTTTYGCATTGTAGGGATTAATAGCTCCACCTTTTCCATATCATATTCAGGAGAGCTATGGAAACAAGCAACAGTTGCCTCCTCGGCCTGGTGGATATCTTCAGCATACTTGGTCCGCTTCTCTTCCAGTTGTCTCTCTTGGGCAGCAATGGTTTCTCGGGCCTCGGCCAGCTCATGCTGCATTTTCCTGCTCAGCTCAATGAATCACTAATAGTCTTCCTCTGCACTGAGGTAGATCCCATGCATCTGAGGTAGGCCAACATTGGCCTACAGTTTGCTTCTCTCCTTYTGGCTCATAGCAACCTGATCCAATAGGACCTGCCCTATGGTGTTCGCCTACCTAAAAGAAAAAAGATATGATTACCAAGATTCACATGACCAAAAGATAGAAACTTCGAATGAAGACAAACCTGGACAATGCATAGAGTCAACCAAGTCCTGGTGTCAACTGGGTTCAAGCTGCGATAATACCGCACATCCTCAGGAAGCAACATGCCCCTTGCCACCCGAAGAGCTACGTAGGCATTGGTTATGCAATCGAGTACAGAGATGTTGGCACACAGAACGAAGTGAGGTATGTCCGATGTATAAGGGTCAGCAACACATTCCTCCTAGTTGATCTAAGGTTGAGAGACTGTAGGGCCCATGGAATATCGATCGATACTCATTGGGTCGTTGCCTACCTCGAGATCGAAGACAGGAGGGGGTGAACGAGTGTGACCTCACCTCGGCACTAGTCAAGGTACCCTCCATTGATGAATGACGCTCGGCCCTTCACTTCTTCCTTGAATCTTTCTTTTTAGATGCCTCCAACATCGACTCGATGAAGCACAAAATATGCCCACCAATAAATAAAGCATAGAATCTATTCAGTCCCGTGTGTTTGGTGAGGTGGTTCGGTCTGGGTTCAATCTGTGGTAAGCCGAGCTATTGTGCCAATTTATGAAACCGAGCTGAGAGTTGCTGAAATGAAGAGAGGTTATAGTGCTTGGGTAAGTTTTACCCAGGGTGACACTCCGATGCTTAAGTTAGTGAGTGGTTCTTTTAGAGAATTTGAGAGAGAGTGAGAGCTTATGTGCGCATACCTTTTAGAGTGTCCCTAGGTTCTTTTATAGTTGCTAAGTTYGCACAACAGTTACAGTTTGCCTACAAGTCTCATGGCGTGCAGTTCGGCGAGTAGTCCCTATAGTTTCGGTAATGGTACTAAACCAGATATGGCGCGCGGGACGGTTTCAGGCGAGTTGTTGTTGTCGGTGGGTCGAGATCGCTTCAGCTCAGCCACACACCTATTATAAACTGCCACGTGTTGAACTGGAGAGCTGTCTTGCTGAGTTGGACGTTGTGTTGCTGACAGTGTCCACGTGTCCTCCATCAAGTGGGTTGACAAAAATGCCCCTCATTAGACTCCATCCTTGCCATATCTGAGAAAAGGAAAAAAGGGGTTAACCGAGCTAAAAAACCATCAATACCGAAAGTAGATGCAAAGAATTTGAAGGCCGACCTACCTACACGACTTAGGTCGGCCTGTATAAGCATGGGCTCGGCCAAAAGGGTCTCTACTAGAACCTTTTGGGGGACAAAATCCTAAACCRTAGCTCACAGCTCTCCATTCAACTCTACACCAAAACCCTGACACTCACTCTACCAAATAGTACTCATGTTCCAACCACTACTTTTAGAAAGGAAGAACTACCTACTCTTCTAGTCCTTAACCTTGGAGGGAAACTCAGTTAACACCGTATAGCCACCATAGAAGGGGAGATAGAAACATAAAGAAACATTGGGAACTTTTTTCATAGGGCTGGAGAAGATATCTAGATCTAAAGGAAAGCCACAATGGTGGCATAAGAAGATCATCCCTACTAGAGTCCGAACTATGTTGGGGTAAAGATCACCTAAGGAAACACCATAGTATGACAACACCAAAGGATCAAAAAGGATGTAGGGGAAATCGGAGGCCGGTGATCAACGCCTCCTTAAAAACACAAGCAACATCTCGGCCGTGACTCCAAGGGTATTCATGAGGGTCGGGCTAGATACAATCAAACTCAGTAGGAATCTGATAAAGATTGTATAGTTCTACAATGCACTCTCTAGAAAGCACAACTAGACCAAAAATGGACTCCACTAATTGGACATTTTCTTCTGTCCCCACCCAAGAATCAGAAAACCACCTTGAGAAAACTCTCCCGAGGGACCCACCTCTTCGTCCCACCTATGGTCGGATGACCTACTCCCCAAGGGATCAAAAGACATTGATAAAGGAAACTACTTACTCGATAAGAGATAGTGAAAACTGGCACCGATGATGGACAGAATCTCAATAGGTGAACCAAAGACAACACTTTGACCAAGATCTCCTTAGATCAGACACCTCTTCCTCAAAAAAATCCAAAAATAGTGCAAGTGGAGCCTTGGTAGGGACCCCATATTTACAATCCTTTGGGTAGAAGGGAAAACAACTAAGATATGCTGACAGCAGATCGACGGTTGAGACAAAGGCGCCATGCGCAGGAAATTTTGAATTCAAAACATTGCATGCATGCAATTTCGAATTCAAAATTTTGCACACCTATGGAGCATGCCCTTCTTTCGAATTTGAAAATTGAAATCCACTGCAGTCCCGCCCAATCTTAGACCGGATTAGAAGAGTGAGTCAGTCCCTTCGCCGAGCTGACGTAGGTTTGGGAGTGGGGGAAATTGATGAGGGGTAATTTGGTTGTCCGAATTATATCACGACACGTGGCCTTCAAGTGACACCTCGGCGTTGAGTAAGTGAACTAGCTCGGAAAGTCGGCCTAAAGAACCTCGCCTAGGTCGACCTCCACCTCAGCCGGGCTGAGCTGACAGGTTTCCTAACTTGTTGCGACCTACCTCTGAAACCGACCAAGCTGTAGGAAACTATGGTGACCTACAAGGCGAGTCGGCTGACTTGTCTCGAAGATACATTACCAGCTCGAGATCCTAGGAGCATTAATGTGTAAACCGTTAGACCAGCCTATCGCACCGCACGCACTACAGTTATTTAGATGGACCATAACCCCCGCATAGATTACGTAACCAATGTAATAACTCACCTGACTAAGCGGAAATGATTCTGCAAGAACGCGAGACCCGTTTTAAGGGTGCTTAGACCACTCACACTTGTATAAAGTCCTCATTTCTACCTATGAGGGTATGTGTGATCATGAGCTCTCAAACTCTCCCATTCTCTAAAGAACTTTCAAAAAAAATTCTCTAACTTAACCATTGGAGTGCCCACCCCGAGTAAAGACAACCTAGACACTCTAACTCTCCCTCTTGCAGAACGAAACAAGCTTGGCCATCTCCAGCTCGACCTGACGAGGTACCATCCGAATCAGCATCCGAGTCACCTGACACGTGAGGGGAGCCAGATCGTGCAACATCAGAACCTATATTTTTTACAGTGAGTTCCATCTGAACAATCTGACCTCGTGAACCAATTATGGGCTGAGATAAGTAAGAAAGTGCATAAACTGAGCACTCACTAGATGAAATGAAACTTTCCATCATGTCCATCCACGCGAAAAGAACACCCAAAACAACCATAAGAGAGAGAAATATGAGAAGGTCAGTACAGATGAAGGGAGAAATAGATATTTGGTAACTGCTTGAAGAACATGGTGAAATTGGGTAGGGATCCGCTAGAAGCTGCTGCTATTTTCTTTGATGAATAGATGACAACATTGTGCCTTTTGAGGTGACTACTGCATCCAAGCCAATGTGCAGCAGTTCTAAAATGGAGTTACTGTAAGCCCAAAAAACCAGTTGTACGAGATAGTATGTATCACCGACTAATATTTAGTGCACTCTCCCTTTGAGACTAAAGAAAGAAACTGTCTGAGGCAAGAGCTCATAGGGCTGTACCTGTACAACTACAAATTTTCCAATGAAAATGGCCCCAATCTATTCAGTCTCAATTAAAATGACAAAATTTGTAGAACAAAATCCTATACGAGGAGAAACTAAATCCCAACTTTAATGGGATTGTACCATGTAAACTCGATGCTGATTATGGAATTGGAGATCCCTAAACCTTAAAAATTGTATTGGAAAAGAAAGAAAAATCCAGTTCTTCTAGAACAGAGACAGAAATTTGGGAAGAGTAAAGCAGAGCAAAATTCAAATCCTTTTACCTATAGTCTGAGATTCTTGGAGATTGAATTGACTCGACCAGATCTAAACTATGGAAACGTGGAACTTCTCCGGATCAGTTATGCGCTTGAAGAATTCAGCAGGCAGTTCGGAATCCTAGGAGAGAGGCAGAGGAGAGAGACCAGAGGGAGAGAGCATTTATGTATCTATGTCGGTGCTAACTGCTAAGAGTTGTTTCATTAAGGATTGTATTCTTGGGTATCTATGATATATTCAAGAAGAAATGGATTTAAAAATTGGATGCCTTAGGTTGTGTCGGATTGTTGACTTTTCTAAGATGGATGACCTTAAAGCAGAAAAGGAAAGTGGAAACATTGATGCAAGAGCCCGTATTAGCCCTAGGCCATTATTGCCTTGGGCACGATGCCTTGTGGATAGTAGATCCTCAAGGCGTAGGTGGTATTGGTTCATCTCTGAAATTTGGGTTTCTTAGGTTGTCTCTATTTGTTGACTTTTCCATGGAATTACAAAGATGTATAAAATTAAACAAAAAAGGAAAGTCGTAAAAGAATAGCCGTAATTGCAGCTGATATGATCTCTATATATGAATTCATTTGATAGTGATCCACTGGGAGGTCTGTCCAAGGTTTAGAGTATTGAAAACATCAAGTGTATTAGAAAGATAATTTTAAGAGATGTTTTAAGATACATTGAGAGAAAAATTAAGAAATGCATAGATATACATGGAAACACTATATATAAATATTTAATAAATCATAAAATATATCAATAACACTAAATATAAGACCTAAATGAGGTATATATACATTAAATTAATATACTTTAATGATTTTATGAAGAAATACATTGTAGTTAATTGTAATTTCACTAAAAAACCTATGCTTAATTTATAAAATGTAATTCTTAAGTTTTATGGGATGAAAAAACCCAACTCTCCCATCCAAGCATAAAACATGCATTGACACAACTTCTTAGTGAAAATATAATTAATAATTAATTATTACTTAAAAATTTATTATTTATTATTTATTTTCAAAAATTATAAAAGATAAAAAATAAATAAACATTATACAATATATTCAAAATATGGTTATTAACAAAGAAATTTTAATTGCTTTGTGGATATGGTAGATCATCTTTAGGATTATAATATATTCAATCATTGTGATGAAATGATAAAATATAATTAATTATTAATCATTCTAATTATAAAAATATAAAAATAATTATTAAGGAAGAAATTTCAATTGTTGGATATGATAGATCATCCATAGAATTATAATATATTCAATCATTGTGATAAAATGATAAAATATTATTAATTTTTAATTTTTAATTCTAAAAATATAAAAAATATATTAAAGAAGAAATTTCAAATGCTCTATCGATATGAAAGACAAATTCATAGATCAAAAACATATTATGTCTCCCCAAATATCTTCATGGAATTTCCATAATACTCATAACACAAAAAAATTGTGATTTTGAATGTAAAAAAATGTAGGTCAACATTGATTTAAACATTCAAGAAAAAAAAAAGAAATCACAAGATATTATAAAAAATGAATAAACTTACCTATTTTTCCATATTTTTTTTCAAAATTTGAAAAATCTTCTAAACAAAAAAATTCACACTTGTTTATTGCAAATTTTTGCAAATCTAGCACTCTAGGAATTTGATTTGGAGTTTTAGGGTCATTTGGGGGTGAAAAAAAAAGTTTAGGAGAAAGAATTTTATTTTTTTAGGGGAAAGAACTTTCTTTCCCCTTTATTTTTTTTTTCAGTTTTGGGCATATCTTTTTTGTAGTGTACCGGTCGATATTCCCTGATACACCCCCGATACGCCACGATACACCCTCAATACGGCCTGATACGGTTCGATATGGGTGGGCCTGATACAATAGAAAAACGATGATACCGTCGACTTTCCACCATATCTTGTATCGAACATTTAAAGATACGATACAATACACCCTGTATCGAGCGTATTGTATCGAAATTTGAAACCTTGGGTCTGTCTTTATTGGGTATATTTTGTGGTTCATAAACTTAAAGTGTTATGCCTCTAATTGTTTCCAGATTATTCTTTATTCTTCTTGTATATATTCAGCTTGTACAATCTATTAATCGGTTAATGAAATTTGACCCATTCTTTGAGACTACTATCTTCTTAGAATTTAACTAAGGGGAGAAAGAGAAGAAGAAAAGGGAGAGAATGAAAGAGATAGAATGAGAGCATCTTTACCCGCCACCACAAAACCCTAGCCCTAGGAGATGGGTCGTGTGATTAAAGTGCAGTGTAAGGGTGCTGGATTAGTGTTCATCTATTATAGTAAGAAGGATGAGTGTTCGATTAGAGTGTAGCATAAGTGTTGAAGTCCCACACCCACCACCAGAAGGGATTGGCCATATTCAGAAGCCTTGACTTCGGTGAACCCAATGGATACCTTAAGGGTGTCATCACCGAGATCATTCATAACCGAAGTCGTGGTGCACTAGTTGCATCCCAAGAAAGCTAAACAAAGTGAAAGGTTATTGTTCATTGTCTTCGACGAGGAATAGAGTGACGAGAGTAGAGGAGAGAAGCAGTGGTAACCTTCATAGAGGATCATTGTGATCAATGTCGACAACGAGGTAATGACATCCAAGGACCAAAATCTAATATCGAAGCTATTGCTAGTGATGAAAAATATGCATAAGCCCTCGAAGAAGCATCTCTAGGCAGGAAGGTCAAGGTTCGACAATGGCAATTATGTGAACTATGTTGTCTCCCTCACTTCCAACACTTACGGGTTATGAAACTAGATGAAGAAACCATCAAGGAACCAGACAAAGAGGGCAAGAGTTCTTCTTGTGTCGTTCTTCCCAAGTTTTAGAAGTTGCAATGGCCTCTCAACGTTCGAATGTCAATGGAAAAATATGGTCGAAGCCATCCATGGTAGAGGTGGCAAAGATGGATCATTTCGATTGATCACCAGATTCTTTTCTTCTGATTATGTTCAACAAGATCGA